CTCTTTCCAGGTTTCACAACTGAAGCTCAGTTTTGTAAATCCATTTTCAGAGATCCTCTTTGAAGTCTTCACTTAGGATTCAAAGAGATCACATCAGAAGCCTGTTGGAAAAGTAATTTCATTCTTATTTTAATGAGGAAAGAAAATATGTGCTATAATGAGTAAGGAACATGATTTTTAGTTTCCCGATAAGTTAGATGTAATGAAAGTTATTAATGAGAGTAGCACTCGGTTCAGTCTTTCATTATAACACTTGATACTATCTTGAAATTTGCATCTCATTTTGCAACAGTTCGATATAGGACTGAATAACCAAAAAAGAAAAATCTGCACTTCCGAGACAAAAAGAAAGTTCTGTTATTGCTGAAGTATTTACAAAAACCTATTTCAAGAAGAAATAAAAAAGGACCAGGCAATACTGCAGAAAGTACAGACACAGACGACACTCTGAGTATCATTACTACAGAATGTACATCTGCTCTTATCTGTACACACCAGGTTTGTGCACAGCCACCAGCACGACTAGAGGCTGAAGCTTAGGTGAAATGTATTAAGAATGGCTATAGCCAGGTTGCCTAGAGTCTTAGGGACAGGGGGACTTTCAGATGCATCCATACATATAACATCTAAACACTTAAAAAAAAAATCTACATATTTAGATATTTGAGTACCTATGTGAGTCTCACTTAGTTGCATCTGAAGATGGGACTAAACATTTTTAAAATCAGAGTTCTATTGCAGTTAGTTATGGCACCTTGTGTATCACATCCCACAGATTCAGTCATCCATGGTCTAAAAATCAGTGTAGGATTGCAGAAGCTGCCTAGGACAGCTTGCTCTGCTGGCAGTTGGTGACCCCCTTGCAGCTGGTCTCTGCAGAACCTGCGCCTCGCTCCCATCTTAGGGATGCCAACTGCATAAATGACTAGACTACCCATAGGTACTTGCAAGTTTATTATGACCGGTTGCTTTCTACTCAGAAAGTGGCCTTCATAGGCAAAAAAGGAGCATAACTTTGCCATCTCCTGCAGTGGGCTGTTTAATACTGACCTGCTCCTGCAAGGCAAGATTCCCAGCCAGGTCATCCACTGCAGTAAACGCAGCCTCAACAGAATTCCATCTTCGAAATTTTGATCTCCAGCTCTGCAGAAGCCTATGACAATAAAGCAGATTCAGTTTAATTAAGTCTGCTCTCCCAGCTGCCAAAGACCAGATCTCTTCCTCAGCTCCATCCAAAATATACTCAGAAGAGCACTAAGCTACTTCTCAGACTGCCAGTTTATTGATTAGGATCACTGTCCCAAATAGCTGGCTTCTGTCCTCAGCCGTCATCAGCCCCTTGTTTTTATTCCAAGCTGCTAGCA